AGGAAGACAATATAGGCATCAAATGAAGCAGGAGATCTGGAAAAAAGAAATAGTGTGAATCTGTCTTGGAGGAATATGAAACAGTGCATAAGTACTTGGGGACTGAAGGTTGCACAGACAGATCTGGCATTTCCAGACTTAGCAGTGCTTGATATTTTTATTAACATTACGTATCACTATTTCATATTTACATTTAGTTCCATGTGCATTCAGAGAGGAAAGAGAAACCAAAAATTTCAACATTCATCCTGGGTTTATTAAAATTTTGGACTAAAACCCAAATTCTTCCCAAGCCACCAGTAACGGTTTATTTCTGCGATTATTTCTAAATCTGAACCAGCATTTCAAATTTCAGAAGAGTATTTTTGGGGTTTTTTTTCCATTCTCAACACTTTGATTTCTGCTGAATGTTCATCCTACAATGATGTTCCAGTGAAGCACTTCTTTCTCTCCCGGTGGCAGTGCTTCCCCATTCCCAGCAGCCTGCTTAGGAGGGATGAAGGCCATGTGGAGCCTCCTCCTCACAGGCAGCCAGGCTGCATTCCCCACAGTCTGTACTCTCATTTTCTATGCATTTCCGGATCCAAAACCTTCTGTTTTCTTTCCCTTGTTTGCTCTTGGCAGCTATTGGCAGGAGACATCCTCTTAATGATCTTTTTCTGGCCTTCTAGACGACTGCTCAGACTTCTCCAGATCCTTCATTATTAACGCAGAAGCCTTGTAAGTCACTTTTAATGGTCTGTGCGATTTTTATTCCTTAGCAGGAGACATCACCTCCTCCATATGGATACATGCTTATTAATATAAATCCTTAATATCATTTTGCCTAGTGAGAATAATCAGGAAGGGTCTCCTGGCATGTGTTACACCTTGTCCTGGTTCATGCCCCAATCCAAAGGCAATCTTTGTGCTGCTCTGCGTGGAGCAGGGCAGGGAGGAGTGGAAAATCCTTCTCCCGAGGCTGCCAAGGGACAGTGATGTCCCTGAGCAGGGTCCTGCCATCCCCCTGCAGCCCCTGCTGCTTCCATTTCCCTTCCCAGGGTTCATGACCTGCTCTCAGCCCCTCGCTGTTTCTCCTGGAATTTCTCCCATCTGCAGCTCCGTTCTGACCAGGCACAGAAGAAGGATGGCTCCTTGCTCTTGGGGAGTGTAAGGAATGCCAACAGACCCACTCTTTGTGTGTGACAATTTGCTGGTAATGCTCAGCTTTCAGGAGCAGCACAACTTCACTGACAGCTTAGATGGGGAGACTTGGAAAACAGGCCAAAAATCCATTGTTTACTCCTAAAGAGGCTGTTCTCATTTCTTTCCTATAACCAAGGGGCAATTGTCCATTTATTTCATTAAACGTTCTCCTGCTGTACAAATTGACTCCCATTTTTCTTTTAAATACATCCTCTGAGTCTCAAGATGGAGTTAAATAATAACAAACACCAGAGAAGAAATAGAAACCATTCCCAGTGCTATTAGATGAGATTTCTGTTCTTCCAGTTGAGCAGGAATTGTTTTCTCCTGTCTCTTTTATAACTCCTCCATGTATCAGGAGACTTCTTCTGTTTAGCAATTAGCACTAAAGTTGCTGTTACCCCTTCTGTAGTCACGAATTCCATCTTTTCTTTTCTCTTTTACTACATTTCATCTACGTTTGTTGGTGAAGAAGGAAACTCCAGCACATCAAAGGACAAAAAGTGCCTGAAAATTTGTGACACTGAAGTACGTATGAATCCTGCTGGAATGTCAAACCTGTCCTTCATTTTTACCCCCTTTTTTTTTTTTAACAAGGAGGCCCATAAAAGAGTTTAATCATGGCAACATAGCCCATTTCACCTACCTTTACAGTTAAACTATGCTTAGTGACAAACCACCAAACATAATGGGCAAAATTTATCTTCCCAGATGGTGAATTTTGCAGTACAGATCAGACCAGCAAGGCCACAAATTAATCTCCAGTGCCATAAGCACTTCATCACACACGTGTATAGATCATCTGTCATCAAAGGCAGCACAGGCACAGCAAAGGCACTAAATGCACGCTCTGTCCCCAAATTCTGCCCCTTGACACATCTGTGTCCTTCACTGGCACCAAGTCAAGCTGCCTGCATTCCAGCAGGAAAAGAAACAAATGTATTTTCTTTAAAACACAGCACCACCAGAGCTCAAACTCCACCTGAAATTCAAGTTATTGAACGAAAATAACCAACCAAGACTTAGCTCAAGCCAAGCAACACCAGTTTGGAGTGATGGAAGGGACTGGAAGCGATAGCTGGAGCTTCACTAACGAGCTGCAGTGTCACCCTGCAATGGCAGGACTGGGAGGATGGGGACCAGACAAGGGGGTGTCTCTCAGCACAGCACACTGCTGAATCAAGGAGCTGCTTCCAGCTGCTTTTCAGTTTCCAAGCTTGGTTAAGAATCACAGATTTCACCAAAACAAAAAAGAATCAGCTCCCATATGAGAATTGAAGTCAGTTCTGCTAGGAAAAATCCAGCATAAAATAAAATACTATGCAACACAGCATGAAATAGTAAAGAGGTGCATAAAATTGAGCATATCTGCTCCTTTGCATCTTGTCAGAGCTCAAGGCTGTGCTGAGATGACTTGGTTTTGATGTATCCTCTCATATGAGCCAGACCCTGCTACACTTACAACAGATATGATGAAAAACTATCAGTTATATTAGGCAAAAATATATTTCCCAAGGCAAACATTCACTTCAATGTATTTTTTTCTGGCTATAACACACAGAAATTCTAGGTGTATGAGAACCTTCTGGGTTTTCACAGACATTAACATTGAGCAGAAAAACAGGGAAAGCTGGTGAGGGAAACTGCATAAATTAGATGTAGGCACTATAGTGCTTGTATTTCCCTCAGCATCCTTCCCTGCCTTCCATGTAAACTTCAGCTGAAAATCTCCCCAGGGACCCAACATACATCATTCAACATAATCACAGCAACAGTTGCAGATACTCTTTCCATTTTAAAGGGCAGGTGAAGCACCATCAGAATTGCATTCTGCCTCTCACTTTCAGCATTCAACTGAAGGGTAAATAAAAATACTTTCAGTTTCTCTGATGAAAAGCACAATGCAAGCAAAGCCAAATAAAAGCCCAGACAGGCTAGACTACAGAGAGCCAACAGTGAATTTTCCAAGGAAATATTTCTGGGCACGTAAAACATGCTGATTTATTGTACCAGAAACATTTCCTGGTGATGAACAGACTCCATACACTTTTGAGAGAAGGAAATCCCCATGGAAACCTGACTGCCTTCCCAGCAGCTCAGGAGCACTGAGATGGACCTTCCAGATGTTGGGAGAACACCTGGCAGCTGGAGCCATGCAAACCCCGTGGGCTGTGGGGCCAGGTGAGGTCTCAGCAGCCCCAGGCTCTTGTGGATCCTCCTGGGGCTCCCCAGCCTGGGAGCTGCTCCCTCCATTTCTGCTTCCCTGAAAACCCAGCTCAGTCACTTGCTCAGTGCTTCCAGGACTCATTTTGCTTTTGAAAGACAGCATTTCAAAAGTGTCTCTGCAATAAGTTTTTTGTTATTTCCTGGCCAGCAGAAATATCAAAACTCAACCCTTGCACCATTTGTTATGAGGTAAATGCTATTTTAGAAATTCCAGTGGAAAGAAAACATCCTCACCTTAGGATAGGTTGTCTCTAATACCTTGGGAGTTTTATCTGTGGTGTGGGGAAGAGAACAAAACCCTGAGAATTAAGAGCTGATGTTAAATCCTTGCAGAGCCTTAGGCAAATTCTATAATCTCTCTGCTATAGCACCGGGGATCAATACATGCCTGCTGAAACCCGACTGCTCCGTGAGGCCAGTCCATCTACTGACGTGGATGCTGGCCAAATTCATATTTAACAAATTAAAAACACTAAATCCACGGAGGAGCATGAATAAGTTGTGTTTAAAGGAAGCCCCTTCCTGACCCAAACCTTTTAAAGTTTGGTTAAACCCCATTATATTTCTCACACATTTCCCCCATTAGCAGCGCTGTGCTGTGAATCACTTGTCCCCATTCAGGCAGCAATCTGTAAGTTTATTAATATGCATGTGCTATTTCACAAATGCTGAACGATTTGAAAGTGCTGCATAAGGTTTGCTGTCTGTTTTCTCAACATCTGTCCCCTAAGTGCACTTCTGTCACATTCTGCTCCCATCCTTCTCGGATCAAAAATTGGAAGTAAGGCACGAATCTGCTCTGAGGTTTCCTTGCACAGACTGCAGCTCCTTCTTTCCCGAGAGTCTCACATCCTTACAGCAGATGACACTTTCCAATTACCTTTTGGCCCTTTTATTCCCCCAGTTTGGCTCACATTTCTCTCTGAATTTGGTCCCTGTGCAGCTCTGAACCCAGAGTCTGACAGCTAAGGACAGAACAAATACGCAGCACTAACCCTCGGGGTGGTTTGGAATGCCTGAATTCTCCTATTACAGGCAGATTCACAAGGAAAGGTCAACAGAGAGTCCCCAAACTTAAAACAAAAATGTGCCACGAAACAAGCAGTCAAAAGCTTGAAGAAGCAGGAAAGGCTGATCTTATAGAAAAACTGAAGCCAATTTGCAAACTTTAGCCCCAAATCCTGGCTCTGCCAAAGGATTCCTAGACAGGCTGAGCTCATTTCCTCACCTCTCAGCTCCCCTCTGTACAGTGCAACAGGAGTTCTCACCACATTTGACCTGTGCAGGATGTAGCCCATGCATTTTGGAAAGATGATGATGCTAATGTTGATATAAACAGAGGGAACTTCACCAAAGAATCAGAAAACCCTCCTGCAAACTCTTTAGCAAAACACATTGTAGCAGTTACCCTTACCATGGTCCAAAAAGTGTCATCCACACAGATAATTCAAGACTACCTATAGCTTTCCCCTGTTGAAGAGGAAATGCAGAAGTTCTCTCATGACAACAGTAAATATAATCAAAGATTTACACCCAGCATTGATTTGCCCCTATTTGTTTTGCATACAACACTTAAAAAATTCTCTTACCTTAATACAAACTGATCTGCTAGAGAGTAATCAGCCAGGAAAACATGGAAGGTCACAATGTCACCCTCTCTGACCGGGCTGAGTGGTAAGTGAATAATGATATTTTCATCCACCCTCAGCGAAGATTGCTTTAATTTGTCTTGATTTGGGTAAACAACGATGCTACCAATCCTCTCCATAGCTGACAAAGCTTGGTGCTCATTCTCTTCACCTGCATGGATATTGTTTTCCCATTTTGCATCCTCTGGAGAACATTCCCCATCCACTGTATAAATCTTATAGAAGAGCTCCACAGTAATCCCTTCCAGGGAGGCTGTTTCCTCTGGAACCATGGGTGGAGGGGAGCTGAACCAGCTGGGAGACAACTCCAGCTCCACAACACATAATCCCAGGTGGCCTGTCAATCTGCAGCTGGCCACCACTTCTCTAGACTCCAGGAAAGCAAACATCTTCACACAAGGCAGCATCTCCTCAGAGTCGTAGTCATCCCAGTCCTTCCCCGCAATGTAGAACAAGGTCTGTATTTTAGGTTTGTTGGAATAGATTGAGCTGTTGATTATGTGGGATTTTAATTTCCAATTAAAAGTGAATTTATTTGTGAAACCAAAAGATGCAGAAGTCAGCATGAGGTCCAAGGGAACGGGTTGTTCAACAGAAAAGGGTCCATACGTGGCATTGAGGACAGGTGGCTGTTTGGCTTTGTATATAAAGAATGAATCCACCCTAGACTGCAAACTGGAGTTCCTCATGATATCCTGGTTGGCTTCCTTGAGGAAGAAGAAAGTATCAGCATTGGAGACGTGAGGGCTCGCAGGGAGATAGGTTGGCAGGTTTGAGAACCTCTGGATGCTGTCCATGATCCCTCCTCGGCTCTCCACCACTGCAGGCCAAAGAGAAAAGGAAACAGAAAGAAACTCAAATGTTTGCTTAGCATGGCCCTCAGCTTCTGACAAAAGCAATTACAGGAAATCAATCCTGCTGGCCACAATTACAGCACAATCTGACACAGGTACCATGGAACAACACTTGCATCAGCTGTGCAGCTTCCTCTCCACCTTCCCCAGCCTGTTATCTATTGAAAGCCATTAATCAAGTACTGGGTACCACAGAGAGAGGACTGATTGGCCAGATCCCAAACTAACTTCCCAAACTTTTTACTGGCAGTCTATTATTTTTTTTCTTTTATCATCAGATCAAACTTTCAGCTTCTCCTCACCCTAGTTTCAATGTGCCTAAGAAACTGACATATTGACTATTAGTAGCAGTAAAACAGAACAGTTTAAGCAGTAAAAACTGAACATTTCCTTTAATCTACCATCACTAACACACAAAGCAATGGGGGTTGAACATCTGCATCACTCCCAATCCATTCTGCCAGGTCAGCAGCTTGGAAGTTAGTGAGAACCTGATAAAAGCTTCATGTTCTTGAAACCAAAACTTTTCACACTAAAATATATGGGGTTTGATAGAGGTCTCAGTGGGATGGATTTAGAGGCAAGAGTGAACTTGAGAGAAGGAGAAATCCTTTACACACAGAAGGTTCTCAGACACTTGGAAGGATTTTTTTGGTTTAATTTCTGAGGAGAATAAAACACATTTGGAAACCACAGAAGTTTCTCTACATCACAATGGTCAATCCTCCAGCCAGCGCTGAGCGATTTTTCCCAGGAAAGAAAAGATTCCAGAGGGAGGGAGGGATCAAATAGACACCTTTGGTTGGGCTGATCTCTAATTAATAGTGAGATATATTCAGTCTGGGCTGTGATCCTACCAGAAACAGTGGCTCTTTCAAACTATCAATTCATACCCAACAAAAAGCCGGTGAATCCGAGCTCCTGGGACTGCCTCAGAGGAAACAAACAGAAACCCAAGGAATTAAAATGCAGCAGTTCCATAATGCACAGAGATAACAAAGGCACAGTGACAGAGCCTAAGGTCAAAGCTCTCATTGTCTCCCTGAAGCTGAGTGGTGATTTCACTGTTTGTCAGGGCTGGGCAGAGCAGATACACAACCACAAACAATTACACCTGCTCAAGCCAGATGACTCAGATACTTGCAGCCACGATTTAGCAGAGATAAAAGCTCTAATATTTAAGCTTTTTTTTTCAGGTTGTGTATTTTTAAAGCCTACATTTATCAAAGACAGATTCTAGGGCAAATCCCATCCATTTGACTTTGCTCCACTCTTGTTCTCAGTTGAAATTCTGGTCATTTGTTTTTTGATAGTTTGATATTATCTACACTTGTTTAAATGCCTCTCATTTCACCACAATGCTTTTGCCTTTACTTTTGCTGTATATTTACTTGTGTCAGGGAGGTTTTTTCAGACGTTGGGATATTCTTTGGAATGAATAAACATGCAAAAATAGACAAAAGCAGCCAAAAAAAATTCTCAGCAGGAAACACACTGCTAACAATCTCCTCTCTCACCACTGCACCTGGGGATCAGGTCAGGGTTTCCTCTCAGCTTCACAGGCAAATGCAGCCCCAGCCAGGTGTCCCCTGCCTTGCTCTCACCAAAAACATCAGCCCAGCTCTGGAACTCACCAGCACAGCCCACGGTGAAATGCAGAAACCCAGATGATGAGAAACTGGCAGTGGCATCACACATGGAACAACCAATTTTCTAGTTGGGAAAATTGACCTTGGTCCTTCCCTGCCACATCTCCCATCCCCATGTGGATGGTGGCAGTGGGTGCTCTCCCTCCCCAGGCAGAAAGTCACCAAGGGATGTTTTAGCAGCCCCGTTTCTGCTCTGTGGTTTATTTACAGGGCACTTTGACACTTTTTGCCATTGTGCAACTTCCCAATTCAGGAGCAGAAAGTGAACTTTGATCCTTTGAAAGCTGAGGCAGAAGGGAAGGAAGGGTATTTTTTCTTTGCTAAAAATTCACATGCAGACAAGCCCCTTTCTGGATTAATTGTAAACACATTGAGCTACATTTGAAAGCAATACTTTTGAGAAGTTGCATTTAACATAAAAACTTTACAGCCTTAGAGATAAGCAACCAAGCAGATAAGCAAGAGCCAGAGCAGCCAGAGTACCCTCTGATTTCTGGATCAGGAGCTAAATCTCCTCCCAAGGCACACCAGGTTGCAGAGGAGATTTAAACACTGACGCAGTTACAAACCAAAAACAAGACAAGGCTTAAATGCACTTGTGTTTACATTACAGGACTCCCACACACGCTTTATGCAGATATTTTATCTCTCTCAAGCAGTGATTTACAGGAAGTTTAAAAGGGATGTTTTTCCCTTTCCTCCATTTCATTACAGTGGCAACTTCTCAGTGCCTCTGCTCAGAACTGGTACGAGGACTAGGACATCATCCTGCTGTAACTCAAGCAAAATGAGATACAAATTTTGTCTGAAGGCTTATATGGGAAGCCATAAACATCAGTAGACAGGGCTGGGCTTTGTCCTAGAACCAGCCTGCAACAAAATATGATATCTGAATTTAGCAGCGTTTTATGGTGCTGTTGGAAGATCTAAAAAGAAATACTTCATAGAATGGCAGGCCAACACCCCACCTTTTTAATTCAGCACATCAGCACCACAGCATCAATCTCCTCACAGCAACAATCACAAACCAGACACATTTGGAGCTTTCTGGTATGCAATAATGCCATGAAAAAATCACCTGCTCCTTTAATAAGCACTCCAGCAAGATCAAAGAGGGCAGAACATTAGACCAGAACGTGGGTTAGTTCTAATTAGGTACCAAAAGAGATCAAGAGCTGAGGAAAAGTAAATAGAGACCAAATGAGCTTCCCCAGAGCCCAGTGCTTTCTCAGACAGAACAGTCTGGTTTGCTCAGGGTGTTGAGGGGAGATGTGTGGAGATAACACACTGTGGGATGTGAATTGAGATACTCAGTTGGAATTTTGGAAAAACTTTTCCCTTGTAACAGATTCTCTGCAGCTGCTTTGCCCCTGCTAGGGCACTCATTTGGATTAAGGAACTACTGACCCCTAGAGCAACAGGTCAGCTTTTTAAACATCACCACTGCAGTTTTATGTTCAAATCCTTCCCTCCAGAGTTGGGCAATATCCTCATAGCCCAGCTCATCCTGCAAACTCAGAGTACAGGAAAGAAAAGTCCCTTGTGATGTTTCTGAGGCGCAGAGGGAGGAAAGCAGCAGGCACAGAGAGAGCATGCAGTGCTGAGCATCACAGACGCCCCTTCCTGCTCCTTACCCTGCCCAGCTCAGGCCTCAAACGAAGCTTCTGTTCCGTTCTCTTGATCATTTCTTATCTAACCATAAAATTATCCATCATTTTTGGTTTTAATCTCGCTTGACCCTGGACTGCCACCACAAAAAGCAGCACAGGACTGAAAGAGAAGCAAAGCCACAGCTGCAGGACAGACTGTGCAACAAAAATCTGCCGTTCATGCAACTCAAGATTTCATTGAATCTTTATTGAATTTCTTAGATTTCATACTTTTTAAATAAGAAATAAAACAAGAATGCTGCTGGAAGATAGTGGCGGCAGTGGCAGGTCAGTGTTAAAAACAAAGCATCTATTTTAAGTTTTAGTAAGAGGAAAGTCTTTTAAAATCATCATTTTGTAGCTAAAAAGGAAAATAGCTCCTGATGGAATAAAAATCCAAAATTCACATCTAAATCTTCTCTCTGCTTTAGCAAACTATTTAACAGGAGCCAAGTCTCCCATAAGCCATCAGTAATTCTGAAGCTGAAGGTGCAAGGAACAACAACTGTTTAAAATTGCAACTCTTTCAATATCCTTTTTCTCTGAAAACAAACAAGAAGCCAACCCTGCACCTGTGGAAAAACTGTGAAAATGTTAAAATTCATCTTTCCTGCAGCATCATCAGAACTGTAGAGCGAGCTCATACAGACACTCCTCTTTGTAAAAGAGGAATCATTTCAAGTAATGTGGTGCCAGTAAGTGCTATGATGTTATCCATGACTCACAGAGGCAATCAATGGCTTGTCTGTACAGGAGAAAAATCACCAGCCCCTCCCACCAGCCCTCACTGAAACACCATAAAGATCAAACTACACATGTACATTATTCCACTATAAAAATGGCTCTGTTCATAATAATTATTTCATTGTGGAATTGCAGGAATTAGCCTTGAATAAAAACACACTGTGCCCCAGAATAGGGTGTCCACACAAGGAAAACTAATCTGGAACTCATGAATTATAGGAAAATCCTTCTGGACCAGCTGTGTGGGTCACTTTGTCTCATATTGCCAAGGGATGCTGTTCAGAGACCCCAGCCAGGAGAAGCTGCTCAAGGTGATCTGGGCTGGCTACAGCTGGGAAAACTCTGACTCCTGGAGGAGAAGGAGGAGGATGATTACAGAGTGGAAGTCTACTACGAGTTTATTCATCATCTGAGCACTATGAGTAGGCTAAGCCTGGGCTGTGTGAGGATTTCGGGATGAACACCCCCCTCGTGCTCTCCCTGACTCACTCAAAATGCAGTGAAGTAGCCAGGAAAGGAGGATGTCACTGTTTACTTCCTACATTCAGAGCCCATCCTGTGACTCATCTCCTCAGTTTTACATTCATAAGGAAAAGGAGGAGAACCCTCCACAGTGCCCCGAGGGGTAAAATTCCATCACCCAGCTGAAGCAGGGAAAATTCCATCACCTTCCATTCACAAGCAAGCCTCACTCCCTTATTGCTTGACTGCTATCCAGTGAACCCCACTGCACAGAAAAAGAGCCATAATGACAATTAGAGTCATTTGAAAATACAAATGATACTGCAAGAAAGAGTTCAGAAGTGCTCCCAGTACATTTTTAACATTAAAGCCAGACCAGAAGCTGTCAAGATATAAAAAATAATAGTGTGAGAAAAGATGATAAAATCCCTTAAAGCTTTTCTCATTCTCTCTTCTTCTTAT